ATACAAGAATATAGCTTTTAAAAGACTTGCCAACTAGAAATCCATTAACTCCTTATTTAACTTAACTGGGACATAAATTTGTTTTTTGTTTTTGCTATGTGTAGAGGATGACCTTGAAATTGCAATCCTCCTACATCTTAAGTACTAGGATTACAGGTATGAGCCACTATGCCTAATGAGCATTTTAATACTTGATTAAGACTATATTCCCAAGTCACAAAAATCCAAGATTATTTTCCAAACCTCAAATTATCTGTCAGATTAGGAGCACTATACTTTTGAACATTTTAATTTTCAAATAATAGTGCCCTACACTATTCAACTCATACAGAGAACCAACAGAGTAATAAAACAAGTAACAATCCAATAAAACTTCACTGCTTTTAGCCTTAGTAATAACAGCAGAAAGTATTAACTTCAAGGGTATTTGGCTTTAATTAACAATTGTGATACTGACTTTGAGATGTGCATATGGACAATTTCACATTCTTCTCATTGGGTTAAGTCCGGAATGAACTCATTGGATAAGAACACTTCTGTACTGTACTGTTCTTCCTATTTCTAATGGGATTTGCACTTGCCAGATATACAGAATCCATCTGATCCTAGCAGACACCTGAGCCCTAGCAACAGTAGTACTTTGCAGGGAACTCTGTTACTGGGAATGTTGCAGATTTCCTTAACTTATAGCTTATGTTATTATAATACAGTTCAACAACAACAAAAAGTTGTAGTTAAAATTTCTTTACAGATATTTGTGGAACATTAAAAAACAGGTTATTATTGTTCAAAGGAGCCAAGGTACAAGCTCTGAGCGCACACAGTAAGAGTTCCATTTGTTTAACACATTCCCTTCACTGCTAATGTGTAGCTCCTGATTCCCTCCACTTTCTATCAGCCTCCTCAGAGTTTAGCCTCCAGATGTGGACACCACTGTAAGACAGTGACTTCTTTCTTCCTTCTACTTGACTGCCCATATAACAACAACTTTGTTTCTTTCTCTTTTTTGAGATAGGGTCTAGCTGGGCATGGTGGTGTTTGCCTTTAATCCCACCAGAGGCAAGAGGATCTATGAGTGCGAGGCAAGCATGTTCTACAGAGCGAGTTCCACAGGACAGCCAGGGCTACACCGAGACCCAGTCTTGCTAACCTAGAACTATGAGACCTGACTGTCCTCAAACTCACAGAATCTGCACACTTCTGTCTCCCAAGTACTGGATTAAAGACATGTGCCAGCTGTTTCTTGTAAATCATATGCATCAAAATTTTCCACCAGAAAGTTCTACTTTCCTGTAAATTAATAAAGATTAAGGGGGAAAAAACAATTATAAAATACATTAATTCACTTGACCCCATAGACATAAAAAAATTTATAGTAAAATATTTAAAAATGCTTAAAACAGTTTAACTACCCCATGGATGAATGATTAGGAAGCTGATGAAGTTCTAGTGTAAGCTGAAGCTAGTTCTAGGCCATTGTTGGCCATACGGAGAAACCCTGTCTTAAGAATCACCTCTAAACTTATTCTTATCTAAAACACCTTAAAACTGCTTCAATTTTATATTAATAACTATGCTGATTAAAATTGGTATCTGTGGTCATCACACCACACATAAACACACTGCATACATGGTGTGGGGCTGGGAGTGTGCTCTGATTTTAGCATTAAAGCTTGGGTTCAATCCTTAGTACTCGCTACCAAAGAAAAGGCTGAGGACACAGCTTAATTATAAAGTGCTTATCTAGCATAGTCAAGGCCCTAGGTTCAATCCTCAGCACCACAAAATAGAGAGAGAACTTAATTACAAGTGAATATTTGGAAAAGAAAAGCAGAGATCACTCCTTTCATGTAATTTTTTAAAAGTGGGGGGCTGAAAAGTTAGCGCAGCATTTTAGAGCACTTGGCTGCTTTTCCTGAGGACCCAGGTTTGATTCTTATCATATACATGGTGGCTCCCAACCTTCTGTTAACTCCAATTCCAAGGGATCTGACACCCTCTTCTGTCTGGCCTCCACATGCAAAGGTGGTACACAGAGAAAAATGCAGACAAATCACTCCTATACATGCAAAAAAAAAAAAAAAAAAAAAAAAATCCTAGCATCTTAAAAACATTTTTGTCGTCTTCTCCTATGTATGGGTGTTTTGCCTGCATGTAAGTCTGTGTGTGAGGGAAGTGTATTAGATCCTCTGAACTGCAGTTTTAGACAACTGTAAGCGTCCATGTAGGAGGTGGAAATTGAACCTGGTTCCTCTGGAAGAGAAGCCAGTGCTCTTAACCACTGGGCCATCTCTATAATGCCTTAAAAAAAAGTCTCCGGCGATGGTGGTGCACGCCTTTAATCCCAGCACTCAGGAGGCAGAGGCAGGCGGATCTCTCTGAGTTCGAGGTCAGCCTGGTTTAGAGTGAGCTCCAGGACAGGCACCAAAACTGCACAGAGAAACCCTGTCTCAAAAAAACCAAAAACCAAAAAACTCCCAAAGATCTTAATAGGTAATACTTACAGACTTACAAAAAAGAAGGGACATCATATATTGTTTTCATTATCAAGGGAAGGAAGCCAGGTTATTTTGTAGAGATGTACATATAATTGCCTAAATGACTTAAGTGTAAACTGAAGATACCAATATATTCCTAAACACTCTGATGAATGTCTTGTCAAATGAAATAGTTTAAAACAGACAGTATTACAGAGAGAATCACAGTCCATCTCTCATTAGCTCTTTTGTTCAGTTTTTGAGACAGAATATGAATGTACTCCCTAAATTCTCCATTCTCCTGCATCAACCTCACCAATGCTGGGATTGAAGGCATGAGCCACCACACCCAGCTAAAATCTGTATCTCTCAAAATTGGAACTGAAATAGAGGGGAAATACCATATACATATACAAGAAAACCCAAAACCCAATCAACTGAATCATTCCACACTGATTACTGATTAATCACTACTTATTTTCAAATTAACAATGTATTTTTAATACTTGATTTATTCTGGCTTATGATTTAATTTTATAATAAAACCCCATTTATGGGTTGTTAAAATAAGATTAACTAACAAAAAGAAATACCGAGTAACCATTCAAAAGGTAGTAATTTAGATATGCTTAAACATACCCAAGAGATAAAAACGGAGGAAAAAAAATAACGCTTTGACGTATCTGTACGTACGGTATGGTCACATTTCTTTAAAACCAATACACATAAAATCATTGCATAGGCACATATAACCTTGATGACACCCAAGCTATCTGACAGCAGTAACTGGTCCTGCAGAGCAGAAGGGGGCAGGCTGACACAGGCCCAGGAGTGACACTTTCCGTCCCTCCTTCCTCTAGGGCTTCAACTGTATACCGAGCAGGCATTGTCTTAGGAAGAGCGAAGTTACAACAAGGAAGCAGGCCCAGGCCTCGAAGTTACTGTACCCAAGTAGCAGAGAAAGACTGGCTAAGTGTGAACACATGTTAGTAACACATTGTACATACTACTACTTCACCTACTAAAAATATACTCAGGGCTTTTTCTATTGTGATCTGAAAATGCATAAAATAAGTACAAAAGATGCAATTTGGTCACAGTAAACTACTTTTAAACAGATTGGTTACTTACCCTCCAAACCCCCAGTGACAATTTTAGAAGCAGACTTGTTCCTGTAAAGTCATACAAATCACTCCTCCAACCCACCCCTACCCCACAATCAGTTCCCTAAAGCAAACAGATAAGATACTTACAATTGATTTGAACGATTAAGAGAACTTAAGTCACCCTTGTTAAAACTGCACTTAAACGTTGGGACAAGCTGGAACATTTATCTTCTACTCATCTCAGACTCCATTATCACCAAGCGAAAATTCAAACTGGTGACTTATAGACGAAAAAAAATTCACCTCCAGGCTTGGATGGAAGCATGAAGAATATAATGCCTCGTTTATCTACATGAGCAAGTGAGTCTGCTAGAATGATCACTATACCTTTTTCCAATTCATCAAGTCTCACTTGGGCCAGCCCAGAGTTCCAACACATTATTTCCCCAATCTTCTGGCAGGAACCTTGTGAGACTGCCCCACATTATGGTCTACTGCAATATCCTGGGGCCAAATGCCAAGTCTCCTTGTCTTTTATACCACCTGGAATAAAGTCTTTTAAACGAGACAGCCTTTTCCTTCACTTTGAAGAGCACAGAATAATTTTTCCAAAGTGTTGATCTGCTCTCCACAGCCCCCCAAAGTAAATATTAAAGAGTACAACAAAATTATCAGAGTATTCCTTGAATTAAAAAAAAAAAAAACCCAACTATTTCAAGGCACATTTAATTTAATATCAAGAATTCGATACAAAAGGCCCAAATACAATGAAGGAACACATTCCCCCATTTAACACCAACGACAATGCTGTTCAACATGTGCCTGCTGAGTGAGATGAGGGTTTACTGAGTAACGGGAGTCTCTTCACGGCTAATACCTTATACAATCTAGTTGTGAAATGCATACTCAGAATGCTGCAAGCACTTGAACCTGAAGTGTGAGACCACACCTTCACGTTTGTACAGTCCTCCATTAAGGTTATCTACAGTTTCCACGACCATTCAAAGAACAAACCATTGATAGAAACCACATAGATTTAAGGCTCCATTATGTAATAGAGAGCTCAGAGCTAATGGATAAATATATGCACTACCTGTACTGGTAGTTATGACTTGATTGTCTCACAGCTTATTAGAAGTTGGTTCTTAGCATGTAAACCCTTTAAAGGCAAAATTCTCCTCATTGGAGTTTTGACCCAGTAGTTCAACGATCATGAAGTCCACAGTCTTATTGGCATAACTGATGTACAGTGTCTCTAAGTCACTATGCTCAAGGTTAAGAGCGATGCATATTCCACTTTTACATTTTACTGGAATTTTACATGTTCAATTCATGATTTTAAACCTCCAAACTGTCTGAAGACACAGTGTGCCACAGACTTAAGACTTCTGTTTTCCCCTCTATTTTCTTCAAACAGAAACATTTCTCAAGTGTCTACATGTTCTAGAAGGGGAATTTTTCGGAGGTGGCCTCTTCTTCGGAATAGTCCGACGGCATCAGGCCTCTGAAGCAAGGGGAAGGGGAAGAGAAAAGCTGAAACACAAGGTTCATCTGGTAAGTTTTACATTAACCATTACAAGCTGGACAGTATAAGAATGTGGCTTTTTGGCTCAAAAAAAGTCTGAGTCTTGGTGTGGAAACGAGTACTTGGCTGTCCCACCACAGCTTTCTCGAGGTGGGACTGTCAGGGAAGTCTTGACTGGGGAGTATGATTTGTTTACCTATCAGGCGTAAACTTCCAGGCACTCAGTTCATTTTGGGCTTGTTCCAGTTTGTCTTTAGTCTGTTCCAGTTCACCTTTCATTTTTAGGAAAAACAAGTTGATCGCTGGGTCTACCATTGTTGATCGCAGTTGGGCAACACTCGGCTGCTGGACTTGCTTGAGGTACTGGATTTGAGTCTGTGCAAAGCAAAAGAAACAATTACTACCAAATCAGGAGAAATTCTTAAGATGGGGAAATTCCTTTTTATTAACTTGACAGTGGTCAGCCTACTTGTTAGGCGTGTAATCCTTTGTTATCGAAAGTCTCCCTAAGGGTAAGGGTGTAGTTCTATAACAGACAAGATCATGTAGAGCAGGCCTTGAGTCTAATCTCCAGTACAAATACACACCATTTCAGACAGTAACAACAACAAACCCTAGAAAAAGTACCAATTAAAACCGAGGATGGTGGCACATGCCAACTCTAGCACTTAAGAAGGAGAGTGGAGGGTTTTAAGTAGCCTAGCAGTAGATCACTTGCCTTATATGCACAAGGCCTTAGGCTTTGGTCCCTAGAACCACAAAAGAGGGAAAAAAGGGACAAATTAAAAAACAAGTGTTTAAGGCAATTAAGATGAGGTTACATCTTACTTTGCAACCCAAACAGTATTAGAACAAAACCAGGACTGTATCATGCTCAGCAGTTAAGAGTATGAACTGCTCTTATAGAGGCAAAGGCAAAGTTCCAGCTCTTGGTATCCACACTGGGCAGCCCCCAAAGTGCCTATTGACTCAGGCCAGGAGAGATCCTATACTTTCTGCAGAAACGCACGCACGCACGCACGCACACATGCATTATTAAAAACAGTATCTTAGGCCGGGCGGTGGTGGCGCACGCCTTTAATCCCAGCACTCGGGAGGCAGAGGCAGGAGGATCTTTGTGAGTTCGAGGCCAGCCTGGGCTACCAAGTGAGTTCCAGGAAAGGCGCAAATCTACACAGAGAAACCCTGTCTCGAAAAACCAAAAAAAAAAAAAAAAAAAAAAACAGTATCTTAAACCCAAACCTAAACCAGCCAGCCAACAAAGCAATACAAGCTCAGCATTGTAGTACATGCCTTTAATCCCGTAATTGGGAGGCAGATAGTCTGATCTATGCAGTGAGGTCTGGGCCAGTCAGGGCTATATAATTGAGACCTAGTCTCAAAATAAACAAAAACAAACAACAATGTTTTTATTTTAAGGACACTGACAACTACTAGAAAGAAGCAAAGTTGAAAATTCTATTACAGAAGAACTGGTGAGGTCTTAGCTTACTTGTCCTGAACAACTTCTGCCTAAGCCAACTATTCTACATAAAACTCCCTGATACAGGACTAGAATGTATTACAATTTGCACTTTTAAGTTTAAATACAGAGTAGTGACATTATGGCATTATAGAAGTAAAATTCTATAGCCGCTTACGCAGAAATACATTCCTATTTTCTCTTCCAAGTATGAAACATAGGAACGCATTGCTGTACATAACTGAATTGGCTTAAGCAAGCCGGATGTGAGTCGAGTCCCAGCATCACACTTCTTTGTTGTTGTTGTCGTCCCTGGAGCAGAGGACCAAACCCAGGGTAAACCCCCAACCCCAGCATTCATGCTTCTTGACTCCTAGTGGAAAACTTTTTGCATGGCACTAGAACCTTCTTTCTTACATAGGAAACTTTCAATTTCAACGTCAGTTGTGCTATTTACTAGCACTCTAACAGCACATTTTCTAAATTATGAATTAAAATAACCTCATTTCCTTCATATCCAAAGTACAACTGGACCCAGAGTCTTGTGCTGCCCTAACGTTTGGTTTTAAATTTTAAAACATGGATTATTTTGTGTTTGTATGACGAGTGGTGTGGTCAGAGGCAAGCTTGCAGTCCCCTTCCTTTCACCACGTGGGTGCTGGGGGTGGAATCAGGCCACTGGGCGTGGTAGAGCATCTCTGCCCAACTGTACCCTCAGGTTTAAATAGGATGAAAGTTGAAATTCCCTACCATAAATTTAGCAGAAGGCACAAATACACTGATTAACTCGAGACTAAATTTAATTGTGAGTTCCCTGCACACAAATAGGAAGGAATAATGTTTAATTTATGGAGATACTATGTTTTTCTATTGAGATGAAGTTTAACTACGTAGCCCTGGCTGGCCTGGAATTTAGAAGCCCATACTCGACAGAGCAGGGATTAAAGCTATGAGCCCATCAAACTTGCTCTAACTTAAGGGATTTATTTTATTTTTCTACCTATATGTTAGTATGAGCACACACCCGAGTGTGCCCTCAGAAGCTAAGATCCTGGAGCTGGAGTTATATAATAGCTGTGGATCCTGAAAGAGAACTTCAATCCTCTGCATAAGCAGCAAGAAAGCACTTTAACCACTGGGCCATCTAGCCCAGCTCTTATGAAAAAAAATTTAAAGTAATTCATTTTAAGCAAAAAATATGCCTCTTAATTCAAGGTAATGCCAGCAACTAAAGAAATTTAACAGGAGAATAAAACACATCATAGAGTATGTATCAAGTGTTCTCATCATGAATTAAAACAATCTTCATAACACTGACTCAGACTAAATCCCAACAGTCAATACTTTTAGTCATGCAAAGGAGGCAAGTACGGCTAGAATAAATTCCCTTTGCGAGGTAAGAGAACACGAGCAAAGTCAAAGACAGTTTAACCTGAGTTTAATTCCCAGGATCCGAATGATATGAAGAGAACCAACTCCCACAAACTGTCCTGACTTCCACGTGTGTTGTGTGTCATGAAATGTGTGCACTCAGACCACACTAAATAAACAAAATAAAGAACAGTAAGGGCCAGTGAGAGGGCTCAGTGGGTGAAGGCACTGGCTACCAAGTCTGCTGACCTGAGTTCAATTCCCAGGACCCACATGGGGAAAGGAGAGAACTAATGGCTGCTTGTTGTCCTCTGACTTTCACACTGAAAGCTCACTAAAGATGGAGTCATGTGTGTTTCTGTGTAGGCCAGAGAACCACCCTGAGTGTTAGCCTGGGTGTAAACCTCTGATATTTTCCCTCCACAAAACATCCATTTTGTTTTTAGGGGCAAAGTATCTCACTGGCCTGACACTTGCTGATTATGTCCAGGAAGCCCCAGGATCTGCCTCGCTCCGCTGGCTAGGCCTCCTCAAGGCTGGGATTACAAGCACACCTCCCCATGTCCTTTACCCTACAGACATAATCTTAGTCTCATACTTTTATTTGAAATTACCACCTGCTTAAATTACTCCGATCTTCCTTCCATTTCAACCTTCACTAGGAACAGTTCCCACTAAAGTAGCCTATTATTTTCCTGACTGCTAAATTCAACAATTCATAATTCCTACTTTCACTAAAACTAACTTTTGCCCAGACACTTTTTTTTTTAAAGATTTAGTCATTTGGTTGGGTGGGGGGGCACATGCCTTTAATCCCAGCACTCAGGAGGCAGAAGCAGGTGGATCCTTGAGTTTGAGGTCAGCCTAGTCTATATAGTGAGTTAGGACTACATAGAGAGAACCAGTCTCAACATACGAAACAAACCCCAAAAGATTTATCCATTTTATTATGTGTTATGAGTGTTTTGCCTACACGTATGTATGTGCACCGCATGTATTCCTGGTTCCTAGAGAGGTCAGGAAAGGGCTTTGGATCCCTTGGAACTGAAGTTACAGTCTGTAAGCTACCATATGGATGCTAGCAACTGAACCTGGGTCTTCTTCTTCAAGAGCAACAAGTGCTCATAACAGCTGAACCGACTCTCTGACCTGCCTCTGATGACTACTAACCACTCTTTACCTAGAGGTTGGTGGTGTGATGGGCAGAAGAGGTTCAGATTACACGTCCTGTTTTCCTAACACTATGTTCTGTTCTTTCTAAATTCCATCACTTTCACAGTCAGTCTGTCACATAAACTTGATATCCACCTATGATTTACTCTTAAATCCTTCCCTAACAAGATCTACTTGATCAAGTTTTACTGATTGTGCCTCGAGACTATCTTATCACATCCTACCAATTAGGTTATTATATGATGTGCCCCTCTGCCCAGCTGGTTTTTCACTTGGTAGAAAGTGTGCCTAGCATGCACACAGTGGCAAAGACCAGGTGTGCATGTGCATCCTGTGATCTCAGCACTCAGAAGGTAGAGACAGGAATATCACAAGGTCAGTCACTCTCAGTTACTAGAGATTTTAGGGCTGGGCCACATAGTTCAAGCATACACAAACAAGAGTGAAAAAAGAAAGAAAGAAATCTACCTTCTACACTCCAGCCAGCTATCTACCCAAAATATCAGTTAATTAACCCCAGGAATCTATTGCTGAAAAATTCTACACTGGTAGCTGGGCATGGTAAGCACACGCCTTTAATCCTAGAACTAAGGCAGAGGCAGGTGGATCTCTGTGAGTTCAAGTCCAGTCTGGTCTACATAGGGAGTTCCAGACTAGCCAGAGCTACACAGCGAGACCCTGTCACTGAAAACAAACAAAAATCATTTAAAATTAAGAAAAAAACCTCTTGCCGTTACTTATATCTAGGATAAAACCTAAGTCCTCAAGCCCTTAATTACTTTTCAAAACTCCTACCCAAAATTCCAACTTTACATGCCCTTCCTGTTTTTTTGGTTTCCAGGGCTGCCTGCAAAGCCTCACCTCTGAACTGTAACTACAAGAACAATGTTGTACTATTCAGGGGAAAGGCATAAGGAATAGGACCAGGGCTGGAGAGACAGCTCAGTGGTTAACAGCACTAGTTGCTCTTACAAAGGACCTAGGTTCGGTTTCTGGCAATCATGTGGTAGCTAACAACAATTAGTAACTCCACTTTCAGGGGGATTCAATGCCGACTACTGGCCTCCACAGGCACCAGGAATACATGTAGTGCACAGACAGAAATGCAGGCCAAAATCTCATACACACGAAATAAAAATAAGCCAGGTGGTGGTGGTGCACGCCTTTAATCCCAGTACTCGGGAGGCAGAGCCAGGCAGATCTCTGTGAGTTCGAGGTCAGCCTGGTCTACAGAGCAAGATCCAGGACAGACACCAAAGCTACAAAGAGAAACCCTGTTTCGAAAAAACAAAACAAAACAATAAATAAATATTAAAAATATTACCATAAAAAGTTAAGGTAAACAAAAAAACAAACAACAGCAAAAAAAAAATGCAACCCAAAACAAAATAAAAACCTAAAACAAAACTCAAAACCAAAATGGTGACAGAGTGAGTACCACCACCACAGTTCTTGAGCAGACACGGTGATCTAAAGAGCCACCGTGTAAACAACAGCTGGGGAGTCGGCTGGAGTAGTGCAAACTGTCTAGGTACAGAAAAAAAAAAATACCCGAACTGTCAAAGCTGGGAATCAAGATGAAAGCAAGCATCCCAGACCCTTCAGTATTCCCATCACTCCCCAGCACCTCGCCCTTAACCAGGTATGCCTTTCTGTTTGCCATGCGCACTATTTACAAACGACCGGGGCTGATGTGGACTCCTAACTAGATTCCAGTGCTGAGATACTTACAGTACACTCTTGCATCTCCTGTTCCTTGGTTGCTAACCGCATGACAAGAATGTTTTCTCTGCGTGCCGATTCCTGCTGCTGCTGCTTTAGTTTTTCTTCAGATTCCCTCAAGCCAGTCACGTCGTTTGCTGAACCAGAGAAGATATCCAAACAACATTACAAACCTCATTTCAAGACCAAACTGAACTAACCAAGAGAAAGCTGTCTCTGTCAAGAGTTATCAAAAAAATCAATTGCCTTTAGTCTTCATACTGTCTTTGAAACAATGGTACTTGTTCTGATCATGAGACCCCACCCCCAGGAAGCAACGGCTAATGCTCCCCAACCATATTATTACACAGAGCTGTTTCTCTACTTAAATCAGTCCCACCTAAACACAAGAAGCCACACTATCTACACTCACTTATAGTACATTTAATATTTACAAAAATCCCAATAATACATTCGAACCTACTCAATATAACAATGGCACTAACTGGCTTAGCATGGCAGAGCAGTATGCTGTCTTTATCACAACACTCAGGAGGCAGTGGCAAGGAGATCTTAAGTTCCTGGGTATCTTTGACAACACAAAACAAAAGCCACTGACTACATGAACAAACACCATAAACTTTTTTTTTTGTTGTTTGTTTTTGTTTTTTGAGACAGGGTTTCTCCAAGTAGTTTTTGGTTCCTATCCTGGATCTTGCTTTGTAGACCAGACTGGCCTCGAACTCACAGAGATCCGCCTGGCTCTGCCTCCCGAGTGCCGGGATTAAAGGCGTCCGCCACCACTGCCCAGCTCACTATAAACTTTTATAAGCCACACCTATATGAGTAACATAACCACACAATTATTAAAATTTGGGGAGATTCAGTTACTGGACTGGAAAAACTATAGTTGCTATACTTCACAACAGTATGTTATTCTAACTCAAGAAAGTACCAGACCAATAGTTGTTTTAAGGCACAAAGTTTGTTGTTTGGCAGATTTCGGGAAAATCTGTACACAAAGAGCTACATCCTAGTGTCAATTAGGTTCTCAAAAATGGATTACTGCTTCTTTCTGTGCATTGTCCCTTCTACACTAAAGTTCATGTAGTTAAAATTCCTGTGCAGAAGGTAGTTAGGTACACACCGAAAGTTCCAAGCAGGTATAAGTTATCCTACTTGTACTTCATTTACTAAAATCAGGCATGCCATTATATATTAGAATACACTATGTCTTCCTTGGTGCCTAGGGATTTGTCAGAAGAAATCACATTTCAAACATCATCCATTACATTTTCCAGCTCCTACAGTGTCTGGACACATCTCATATAATAAACTGCTTGAGCAAAACTGTATCTGCTTCAACAAAGCCAATTCATACTGTAACAAGTTTTCCAAAGACAACTATACAATCTCCATTTAGGAAGATCAAACTTACAATTAAGGTCTGTGTACTTTCCCTCCAAAGCTTGAACGTATGCTTCATATTGTTTCCATCTAGTAAAAAACAAATTCACGTTAGTGGTTACAATGAAATTACTTTTTATTAAAAAAATCATGCTGGGCAGTGGTGGTGCATATCTTTAATCCCAGCATTCAGGAGGCAGAGGCACGCAGCTCTCTATTAGTTTGAGCCAGCCTGGGTTACAGAGTGAGTTCCAGGACAGCCAGGACTGTTATACAGAGAAACCTTGTCTTGGAATCCCCCTCCTCCAAAATCATACCCACAATCATTAAGAACTGTGTTGGATTATTTTTAACTTTGAGATAACCACAAACATAGTTTAATCAGAAATACACTCATCAGCCTCATTTCTTCTCAATTTACATAAGACAGGTAAAAGAAAATATACCAAGGTAAAAGAACACACATAAATTGGGCCTGGTGGCAACCTGCCTACAATCCTAGTTACTAGGAAGGCTAGAGGATGGCATACTACAGGCCAGTGTGGCAACTTATCCAGACTATGTGATATTAAAACACAAAGGAGCTGGGGAATGTAGAACATGCCTTTAATCCCAGCACTTGGGAGGCAAAGGCAGGCTGAGTTCAAGGCCAGCCTGGTCTACAGTGTGATTTCCATGACAGCCAGAGCTACAGAGAGACCCTATTCCCACCCCACCCCCCACACCACCAAAAGGGAGCCTGACCATAGTTGATCAGTAAAGCACTTGCCCAGTTCAATCCCCAGGGAAGAGGGGGAGGAAAGGGAGAGGGAGAGGGAGAGGGAGGAGAGGGGGAGGGGGAGAGAGGGAGAGAGGGAGAGAGAGAGAGATATGGGGAATATAAAGATAAGTGTTCGCTATTGTGAACATGTCAAGCATGCCCTCATGCTCTTCTTAGATTCTGAGTGAGATCACACCACATTTGTTTTGATACCACTAATGGTTAAGATTATAAACCGGGCGGTGGTAGCGCACGCCTTTAATCCCAGCACCCGGGAGGCAGAGGCAGGCGGATCTCTGTGAGTTCAAGGCCAGCCTGGTCTCCAAAGCGAGTTCCAGGAAAGACTCAAAGCTACACAGAGAAACCCTGTCTCGAAAAACAAAAAAAAAAAACAAAAAACAAGATTACAAAGCAGAATATTCTAGTTTTAGTTATGCTCTCCCCTGAAAAGAGAAAAATGTGCTTAACTGCATGGAACTATTCTTTTTGAAAATGCATGACCTCAAAATAGTATTTTTCCCAGTCTTAAATGATCATGTCCACACTTATGGGGCACAGTGTGATAATTTAATATATGCATGCATACAGTGTGGAATGACCAAAATGGTAATTAGCATTTCTATTTCTTTAAAATGATATTTAATTATTTCTTTGTGTTCAGAATCTTCAAACTTCCCTCTATTTCTTGGTAAAGCAATGTTATGTTTTTGTTGCTGAAGACAGAATCTCACTATTTTATCTTTGCTGGATCTACGTAGACCACACGAGCCTTGAAAGTGATCCATTCTGCCTTGAGTGTTGCCACTGAAGAAGACCCCTGCACAGTGGGGTCTCCCTTCCAGACCCTGGATTAGGCACAAACCACACCCAAATACTTGTTTTCACAGAGAGATCCTTTATTAAGGAGGGAAGAAAAGATAAAGTGACTGCTTTCTGACTCAGGCAGAAAACAGCAGCAAATGACCTTGCAGATATAATTTTCTTTAAGATTTTTAGAAATTTGTTTTTATTTTATGTGCACTGACATTTTGCCAAGGGTCTCAGGTCCCCTGATACTAGAGTTAGAAGTTGTGAGCTGCCATGTAGGTGCTGGGAACTAAACCCAGGTCCTCCAGAAGAACAGGCAGTGTAATTTTTTAAGAGGAGAAAAAGGGAAGGTCTGTGTTAGAATGGGTTAGAATACAATGGGATATTTTGACTGGGCATGTTAATTAGGTGACCAAAGGAGGTTCTGATTGCTGGACTTTGGTACTTATGCCAGGAATGAGTCTGGCATAGAAAAGTATCCAAATAAGGAAAAAAACCTTGGTGGCTAGCTTTAGGGATGTAATCTAAAGGTTAAGGGGGGGGGGGGATGGGAGAGAGGGAAGAAGGACAAGGTCTGCAGAATCACATATTTGAGCAGGCTAGTGTCCCTTCAGCGATTAAAGGCACGAGCCACCATGCCCCGCTGGCCAAGTTGCTTTTTTACCTACAAGAATAGGTTAAAAAATATTTTTCAAGATTGAAAAATGACATCTAATTGGCAAACAACCTGCAGAAATGCCATGTGCTACTTATCATCAGGGAACTAAGGGACATTCCCTGCTTGTTATAGTCCTCTACTCAATGTACAGTCGCCAGCTGCTTTGGTAATCACTACAACTAATAATATAGACTTCCTCAGGCTTGTGTTTGAGCACCTCCTGACAGAGAATACCCTTCTTTGAATGTCTGTCATCGTGCTTATTTTAAGCATTTATTCATTCATTCATTTAATAGGTACATCTAAGTAAAATTTAAATTTGACTTTTTCCCTTTCAGTGTCTCATGTACCTCTGGTTGGCTTCAAACTCACTGCAAAGTTGAAAATGACCTTTGGCTTCTCTGTTTGTGTCCATCTCAAGTGCTGGGATACAGAAACCCCAGATGACATGGTTGGGGATGGAACTCAAGCCCTTATGGATTCTTGACAAGCATTCTACCAATAAAGCTACATCCCTGGCACCTAAAATTTAATTCTAGAAGACGATTTATAATCATCATCAGACATGCAATAAAACTAGCTAATCGAGCTGGGCACAAGCCTTTAATCCCAGCACTCGGGAGGCAGAGGCAGGCGGATCTCTGTGAGTTTGAGGCTAGCCTGGTCTACAAAGTGAGATCCAGGAAAGGTGCAAAACTACACAGAGAAACCCTGTCTCGAAAAACCAAAAAAAAAAAAAAAAAACAAAAAAACCCAAAAAACCCTAGCTAATCATCTTCTACATAGACACCACTATGAATGCTTATTTTTAGGGCCCCCTACATTTTAGGATACGTAAGAGCTCACTGACTATTTAGAAATCAACACAGATTCTTTATGGAGGCTAGAAGAGCTATTTTAGAGGAACAAAAAAAAAATAAAACAAAGCACCTCCCCGTCCCAAACTTCCAAAGCACAAACAGGAACATCCATAAAATGACAGAAAATAAAGTTGGGTGTGGTGTAACCCCAGCAGCCAACAGGTAGAAAAAAGGAGGATCAGGAGTTCAAGGGCATCCTGGCTACAAAAGTATCAACAGTAACAAACAGATGACACATTTCAAAACAAAATTTAGACCTTCAGTCCCAGTACTTGGGAGGCAGAGGCAGGTGGATCTCTGAGTTCGAGGCCAGCCTGGTCTACAGAGTTCCAAGACAGCCAGGGATACACAGAGAGACCCTTGAAAAATAAAAACAAACAAACAATTTAATCTAGGGGCTGGAGAGATGGTTCAGTTGTTAAGAGCAGGCTGCTCTTCCAGAGGACCTGTTTGAGTATGGGCATCCACATGGCAGCTCCTAACTCTAAATCCCGTTTTCTGGCTGCCCTAGGCACCAGGCAGGCAAGTGGTGCACAGGTACACATGCAGACAAAACACCACCCATACACATAAAATAAAAATCATAAAAATCATTCCTTTGGGATGGGCAGTACTGATATGCACCATTAGTCCCAGCACTTGAGAGGAAGAGGCAGGCAGATGTATGAGTTTGAGGCCAGTCTAATCTACAAATTGAGTTCCAGGACAGCCAGGGCTTCACAGAGAGACCCTGACTTAAAACATGGGGGGGGGGGGGGATATCATTCTTTGATCATAACTCTTCAAATGTTACATAATAAAAGAAAAACAAATATAAGACAAGACAATTGAGCAGGCATGGTAGTACATGCTTGCATCCCTAACATTCAGAAGACTAATTTGGATTTCCAATTTGGGACCAACTTGAATATATGTTAAGACCCTGTTTGGGGAAAAAAACCCAAAAACAACAAAAAACCAATATCCATGCCTACTGTTTTTATTAAAACTTATTGTGTGTGAGCTCACATTTGCCATAGCACACACACATGTGGAAGAGCCCAGGGGATAGTTTTGTGGCATTGTGTTTTTTTAAATCCTTCTAGCTTTATGCGGGTTCCAGGGATTGAGCTCAGGTCAAAGCTAGGTTTGTACAGAGAAGGTCTTTATCTACTGAGCCCTGTGCCTGCTGATTTATTAAGCTGAACATATTCTCTAGCAAGCCATATATTAAATAAACATGTTTCCCATGTAACAAATCTTAGCTCTGCAAGAAAATTTGGTTTCTGTGTCAGTCTAGAAAGCCCCTAAGCTTATGTTACAGTTCTTGTTTATATACTGAAGAACCACAGGAAACTGTCCAAAAACCATACGCAGGTTTCTGTGAGTTCAAGGCCAGCCTGGTCTACAGAGCAAGTTCCAGTACAGCCAGGATTAAACAAAGAAACCATCTCAAAAAGTAAACAACAGCCGGGCGTTGGTGGCGCACGCCTTTAATCCCAGCACTCGGGAGGCAGAGCCAGGCGGATCTCTGTGAGTTCGAGGCCAGCCTGGGCTACCAAGTGAGCTCCAGGAAAGGCGCAAAAGCTACACAGAGAAACCCTGTCTCGAAAAACCAAAAAAAAAAAAAAAAAAAAAAGTAAACAACAACAAAGCACACACCTTTAGTTCTAGCCCTTGGTGGGCTAAGGCAGGAGGATCCTAACTTCTATAGGAAGACTCTGTCTCTAACATAATCAGCAACAACAATAAAAATAAGCAAACCCAAATTTCAGATTTACATTATTACAAAGCAGTCACGGTAAGTTGTCTATAGATTCTTTGAATTTTTGATAAAAGAACATTTTACCTTAGAATCAACTCATCCCGTGCCATAACTTTGAAGTCTGTTTCGCTCAATCGGACCTATAAAGAAAATTAAAAATGGATTGAGTACTCTTCCAGAGTGCAAAGCTGTTTCCACAGGAGCTCTGTGCTGAGCTAGGAAATGCCTCCCAAGCTGGATTATTTAAATGGCTCAGTACTCATCATACTTCACAACTCTGAAAAATAGCCTGACTGTTCCTTTAAACTACAAGTGAGGGCTGGAGACAGCTTCATGGTTAAGAGTGCCTGGAACTCTCCAGAGGACACCAGTTCAGTTCACAGCACCCATGTCAGTCAGGGCGTGACAAATGCCTGCAACTCCAGCTTCAGAGGATCTAACACCCCTTTCCCACCTCGGGGCATCTCCTCAACATACAGAGATACAAGAAACTCAAACAAACAATCACAAAAATCCTGCTAAAAATGAAAAAGCCAAAACAACAAGATTAAAATTGCACACTCCACATGACTCAGTAGTTCCATTCTTTTTAAAAAAAATTTATCTAAAATTTTTAATTTGCATTGCTGTGGAGGTGTCAGATCCCCTGGAACTGGAGTTACAGACAGTTAGGAGCTGCCATGTGGGTGCTGGGAATTGAACCCCGGTCCTCTGGACAAACAACCAATGCTCTTACCTACAAAGCCATCTCCCCAGCCCCCAGTAGGTGCATTCTTGAGCATTCAGCCCAAAGAAAGTTTATCACGAGCAGCTTTATTTGTGACGGCCCAAAGCTGGGATCAACCAACTGTCTCTTAACAGATAAGTGTGTATAAAACCATGTTAGTTATATTATACAACATTTTTCAGCAGTATGTAGAAATAAGACTATTGATATATGAAACAAATATTTGTTATGCTGAGTGAAAAAATAATCTCAAAAGGACACACACACACACTCAGGTTAGTTAAAGAAACGGAAACAGATTATAATTACAAGGGCCCTGTGGTGACCATTCAGATGCTGATCTTGATTGGTGGTTCTCACACAGAGCTGCACACATGATAAAACAGCACTTCACATGAAGAGAACATTTGAAAACTCAGAGTGTACCAGTTCCCTAGTTTTTTGAATGAGGTTCATAGAATGTCCCTGAATATTTTTTTAAATATTTATTTATTATGTATACAGAGTTCTGCCTGTATATATGCCTACATGCCAGAAGAGGGCACCAGATCTCATTATAGACGGCTGTGAGCCATCACATGGTTGCTGGGAATTAACTCAGGACTTCTGGAAGAGCAGCCAGTGTTCTTAACCTCTGAGCCATCTCCCCAGCTCCATCCCTGAATATTTTTAAAACTTATCAATTTATAACTTTCCAACAAAGTTTAAAAGTAGAACATAAGCTGAAATTGTTTCATACATTTAGAAGTATTTCCCCCTATTTTAAAAACAAACACACAAACAACCAACGAAGGCTTTATTAATTTCCCTTATTAAAAAGAGAAAATACTGGGCTGGAGAGATGACAGGTGGTTAAGAGCATGAGCTCGATTCCCAGCAACCATGTCAGGTGGCTGTGACTCGGGCCTCCTAAAACACCTGCACTCGTGCACATTTCTGATACGTGTATACATACACACAACTAAAAAGTAAATAAGTAAGTAGTTTTTAAAAAAGGAAAATTCTTGGTGAGGGAGCGCAGCTCAGTGGAGGAGTGCCCGCACACTATGCATGCAGCCTAGCCTGACGCCCGGAAGCACAGAGAGCATTTCCTTTCCAGCGTCTAGTATGAACCAGTAACATCAGTGTTACACTGCAAACGGAGAAACATGAGCCCAGAGCAAGCAGACACAGCTCCTGCACACTCAGTTCTTTACTCACTCCACTTTTCTACAACAGATATTAAATATTTAATGAACAAACACCAAGCTTTCCAACCGATTTCAAAGTCTTCCATAAACTATACTATTCTCTGTAACAAAACCTCAGGGTATATGTAGTGTATCTATACTATAAATGTAATAGCTAAACTCAGTATAGGACTATAGAACTGGGAAATCAAAAGTTAGAAAATCAAAGAGGAAAATACATTATAAGAACTAACTGGCTGTAGCCTTGAAAAATCCATAGTCGAAGGATTTAAGTTACAACCTTGGTGGTTTAAAAAATTAGGAGGGAAAATAAGAGTAAATATAAATATATGTATATAAATTATCTGTAAAAGAAAGTTTAGAAATTGTACATAACGTGTGTATAAGGAAATATTCATATAATTCAGACTAAGAATTGCAGACCACAAGAATACTATAATGCCTTCCATAAGCCGTCATCATTCATTCCAAATTGAGCACATGCAGATATACGTCTAACACTCTGCACCCCCTGATGCAAAGTATCAGGGAAAGGAAGTGAAAAATAAGAACACAAAAAGATGAAGTGAAGCTGCTGAAACAACATACCTTTTTAGGAAGAGGTTCTTCGTTGGTCATCTTGCACCCTAAAAAGGGGGGAAAGTGTTGGGGAAATGATTTTCAGTTGATTTTCTTTCAAACCAGTTATTAGCAAATGTTAATGTGAAATAGTTATTAAAATAGCATTTTATATTTATATATTTATAAATTTTATATTTATATATTCACAACTGTTTGTTTGGTCCATTCATTCACTGCAGTGTAGGGGATTCAACCCAGGACTCTTCCTTCACATTCTATCTAGGTAAGTGTTCTATCACTGACTTTAGCCCAGGATAGCTTCAATTTACAAAAAAAAAAAAAAAAGCACAAAGACACGAGTTAACCTGTAGCTTTTAACAAATGTTCTCTCTGCTTAACATCTTTCATTACCATGGTTATGTAACCTTTGAAAAAGCTCCCTGTCAGACCT